CGCCACCACAACCACCACCGCCACCACAACCACCGCCGCCGCCACCACCACCACCGCCGCCGCCACCACCACCACCACCACCACCACCACCACTACTGCTGCTCCTGCTCCTGCTCCTGCTCCTGCTCCTACTCCCACTGCTCCCGCTGCTGTCTCACTTTCCATCATCTATGACGAGTCCCACGAATGCTGCAACCATGCGGTGGAAGTGGTCGTCCTTAATAGTTGCCATATCTTTAGTACTCGTTGAGCATCGGACACCCTTGGGCGGCTTTGTCTGCCTAGCCGTCGGTGTTGGCACCGTAGCGTGCGCCACGGCATCCCAGAGCCTCAGGTAAAACGGGAATTCCGATTGGTATTACCGTTTCGGCAACTGAAGTTACGCTGCGCCTGTCTCTCTCTCCCCTACATTCTGCACGATCCTTCTCGTTCTCTCTCTGGGAAATCACAAACGGCTTGTTAATGGCCATCTCCGAGACTGGTCACAAGCCCTTGCAAGACCTGATACCTTTGAAGACCTAAATGCCGAGCTGAGGGAGTTCAATATGCCCTAGGGCACATTCGAAGATCCTTTCCTCAACCCGGAACTGCCGCGGCAAGCAAAGCTCGACGCGCAGGCAAGATAGCTGGAGTTTATGGGGAATAGGTCAAGCAAAAGTCCTGCTGTTCACTGTGGCTCGTCGGTGAGGATTTAAATTTCCGAAGTCAAGCAATTGCAGAACATACTTGTCTACGACCTCACAGTTATCAGTCACATGGACTGCGTGCACCCGTCTTAAACAGCGAGAGACCCATCGTGGGACGAATTGGTCCCCGCACATGTTGCCGGCTGAACAGATGCATAACTAAAACTCATCGGATGAAGAGCTGCTACTTAGTTAAACACAACCCCAGGTTCAGTGATTTTCAGAACGAGTATGCTGCTGGGCAGCAAGTACAAGATGTGCCGAGTGCCGAGTAATGCTAAGTGTAACTTATGTAGCACTCCCAACTGTGGCTTTCTTCTGATCAATGATACCCTGTTGCCGCTGATGTGCAGGCCTTCAAGTCAGAGCAAGACCGGCCCTCCTGCACCACCTTTCGCAGCCCTCGTTCTGATGGCATTGACATCATGCCCTAGCACCTCTCTAATTCTTGTCCAGAAGCTTGAGGATCGTGGCAATGAGCATGCAAGCAAACCTGCTGGGGTGATAGGGAGTCCACTCACGAAGGCTCTACTGGTAGTGGACGAAAACTAACAACTTTCAAACGTGCTGTTGAAGAGCCTGGATATCAAGAGCCTCTTCAGGCCTGTTTGCAACGTGGCTCGTGATGATATATGGTGATTTGGGACCAAAAAGATACTATTGAGGCTCTCATGGAAAAAACTAGACGAAAAGATGTCATCTGCCCTTTTTCACAGGTCTTTCGCCAACTTTTCGAGCTTAATTGAACACCTCGAAACCTTTCTCCGAGATTCTCATCCCATGCCAGTGTATTCCGAGGATAGCGAATAACACAATTTCTGGTTTCCTGGTTTTCTAATAATTGCTAAGCCAGTCCAAAAATCAGCTGTGAAATTGCACTCGAGGGCAGTAGGATGCTTGAGCTCATTTGAACCGAAGGAGCGGAGACTCCTTTATTGGTGATGACAATGACCATGATCTTGCAAACTACAAAGGTGGTGATGACGACTTAGTGCGAATCTCCTGCCGGACATGAAAGCTTTGGGATGGTCCCTCGGTCTCACGATATGTCGCATGCTCGACAAAGATGGTGGGTTTTTTGGCTGGCATGCAAACTCCCGCTTCCGAGGGCATCGAATATCAAGGTTTGTTGGAGATCTTAGCTTCTCACAGAGTGGATTTTGTCTAAGTCCCCGACCTTGCAAACAAACCGAAAGTAATCCTGTAGCGGGATCGCTGTACACGCACATGTGTATATATATATATGTATATACTTATATAT